CAGCTTGCGGGACTGGCCTAAGGGATTTTAAAGGGGTTTTAATCACTTTTAATCGGATCAGATTTAAATATTTCTTTTTAATTAATTTTAAATGTGTACTGTATTTTTGTATTTTATCTGATTGTTAGCCGCCCTGAGTCCGTAAGGAGAAGGGCGGGATATAAATTTAATAAAATAAATAAATAAATAAATAAATAAATTTGGATTCTGAAGAGTTTGTAAGCTGGTTGTAGGTCGATGTGTCCATTGATGGAATTGTTTGTGGAGTGTCAGGCTTCGATGAACTCACAAGCGTGGCGGGTGTTAGCGTGGCCGATGATTTTAGTGTTGCTCCATTTGAACTGGTGTCTTTTGCTGTCAGTGTAGGAATGTGTCTAAGGAAAAGAAGACAGAGCTAAAGACGGACTCTTACAGCGTTCAGCTTCATTCTATCCTCCTCAGTTAGCAATATGGACCTTCAGTCTTGCAAATCCCAGAGGTCTCCTCTTCAATCTCTAACCAGAACTGCTTATCTAGAGAAAATTAGCCTGGTGCTATATTACGTATTACTGTATTTATCCACACCCTGTCCCTTTTATCCCGATTTTCCTGTACCCGCACTGATCCTACCTTTTCCCTACCCATATAAAATCTAATAAAATATATTTTTTTAAAAAATTGAACTCATTCTTAATGTAACTTGACATGCTGTAGGACCCCATCTAGAGGATCTGTCCATCCAGAATGTTACACATTCAGCTCTAGAGAATTCCTTCTTTCACTTCAGGAAAAATTCATCTGACCTTCCTACATCAGACATAATCATTCATTCATTCATTCATCAAATTTATATGCCACTTATCTTGCAGTTCAAGGCGACTCTTTACCTCCCAATCTCAGGCTTGCTTCTCAATGTAAATGTGAAGAGCCAGAAATACTTACTTTCTAAAGACTTACTTTCCCAGCCTATTACTAAGCACATTTTGGTGTAGCCAATGGGAAAACCCAGCTGGGAAACATGTTCTAGTTCAGGAAATTGTGGAATCCCTCAAAAATGGAGTGAGTCATCTGGGAAGGCACTGCATGGACAGGAAAGGAGCAGACAAAGCGATGGGAAGAAAATATGAATAAGCTGCCAAGCATCTGAATTTTGATCACATGTTCACGGGGATACTGCAAAAGTTGTAACTGTGAAAAAATGGTCATAAGTCACATTTTTCTGTGCCATTGTAACTTCGAATAGTCACTAAATGAGCTGTTGTAAATCGAGGACTACGTGTAGTTTTTCTCCTGCGTGGATGCTTGAGGAAGCAAAGCTACCATTGCTATCTGTGCTTGGGCAAAACAGTTGCAGCCAGGCAGAAATGCTTGCCATCCCTCTTCCCCAGGGCTCAGCACACCTCAAGAAATCTGAGATCGGCTCATGCAATCATTCATTCACTCACTCACTCATTTACTCACAGTTTACTTAAAGGATCCATGCTGGCATTCCAGCTGCCTGGCTAATTGAGCCACACATTGCCATTTTCAACAATATGTGGAAATCCAAAAGTAACCTCACCCCAACAAGGCCCTTAGTTTACAGAAACAAAGTCTAAGAAAGAGTAAAGATCATGTGTGGGTGTGTAGGAGAAAAGGAAATAAGAAAAAAGCAAGAAGATGGGGAAACAGGAGGCCATATTTGGTGACTGACAATCAATACAAGCAGGCAATCCCTCAACTGCTAGCACCACAAACTACAGCTAGCAGCATCTCCTGGTGGGGCTCCTGCCTGGAGCTTGCCTTGGGAGCTCAGCTGGAATGTTCAAAAGCAACACTGCTTAAGAGCAGAGCTTGGAGTTGGCCAAGAGAAAAGTAGCAACTGCACTGAGGCAGGTGCATGGTTGTCATGGTGGCTATGAGCCTCTGGGCTGTTCACTAAAAAGATACTATTGCTAACTCAGCAACCATGTCAAGCCTGGCAAGGTTGGCACAGTGTAGTCCCTCAGTGCAATAATGTTTTCAAGGAAGCAAAGGTTGCATACCACTTTATAGACTTTGAAATTTTTGTTTCAGTTAAGGACTCAGTATTAAAGACGTATTTTGGTGGCAATCTCAGCTTGCAAGGTTCAGAAAGGTAGAGTGAAGAGCAATAGCCTGTTTTGGGGAAAGGGATTTGCCACTATGAAACACGGTGAACAGATTTGCTAATGCTGTGCTGTATTGTGTCCACTCCTTGGAAATCAAGAAAATCCTCACAGGATCACAATTAAGATCCAACGGAAGATCTTTTAATGTTCTATGCAATAGTAAGCTTCACTCTCATTTCTGGATTCTTTGATGAGTAATGAAGCTCACTCCATAGATTTATAAGGTTTCTTCTGTGGGCATATTTTTATGAGATTTATGTTGTCCTTTCCAAGCAAAGCTCTTTCCACACTCCATACATTTATATGGATTTTCCCCAGTTTGGATTCCTTCATGAGTAAATTTCTTATGATTGTTAAGAGTTTTCTCCACACTACACGGATTCATATGGGCTCACTTCTGTGTGGGTCCTTTTATGAGCATTAAGTTGTCCTGTCCGGGCAAAGCTTTTTCCACACTCTATGCATTTATATGGTTTTTCTCCTGTATGGATTCTTTCATGAGTAATAAGATGACCTTTCTGAGTAAATTGTTTTCCACACTCCATGCACTTGTATGGTCTCTCCCCAGTGTGGATCCTTTCATGATGAATAAGTTCTGTGCTCCAATGAAAGCTTTTTCCACACTCCAAGCATTTATACGGTCTTTCCCCTGTGTGGATTCTCTCATGAGAATTAAGTTGTCCTTTCTGAGCAAAGCTCTTTCCACACGTTAAACATTGATACGGTTTCTCCCCTGTATGGATTCTTTTATGATGAATAAGATGTCCTTTCTGAGTAAATTGCTTTCCACACTCCATGCATTTATATGGTTTCTCCCCGGTGTGGATCCTCTTATGATGAATAAGTTCTGTGTTCCGACAAAAGCTTTTTCCACACTCCAGGCATTTATATGGTCTTTGCCCCGTGTGTATCCTTTGGTGGAAGGTAAGCTCACAATTGTCAATAAAGCTCTTTCCACACTCCATGCATTTATATGGTCTCTCTCCTGTGTGGATCCTTTTATGAGAATTAAGTTTTCCTTTCTGAGCGAAGCTCTTTCCACATTCCAAGCATTTATACAGTTTATCTACTGTGTGTATCTTTTGATGTCGAATAAGGTCACTGTTGTCAAAAAACCTCTTTCCACATTCCAGGCATTTATATGGTCTCTCCCCTGTGTGGATTCTTTGATGGGAAATAATATCACCAGTCTCAGTGAATGTCTTTCCACACTCCTTGCAGCTATATGGTTTTTCACC